AAAATTTTATTTAAAGAAAGACTAAACCAAACAGAAAATGGGTAAAAATAATACATACTTTCAAAGAAAAAATAAACAGTAAGAAATTACTAATTGATGATTACATATTGTCCTCTTACAAATAGTTGTTCAAGATACCAAAGTGCAACATACAAAGTGGGGATTCAAACAGCGAGACTGCAAATGGTTCTGTTTAACTATCCAACAAAAACTTAGTAATATGGTTATCAATCATATACACTTAAACATTCATGCAGTTATCCATATCTTCATTTTAAAAAACTGAATATTTCTTAAGGTATACCTTTGGCAATTGCATTGTATTGGTCAAACCAGGTATAGTCAAAGGGAGTGAAAAGACTCCTTGATGAGAGGGTGTCATGATCACTGTTAATGGCTTGTATCTAGATGTCCCCCCAAAGCTTCATGTGATCATGGGTGGGGCTTTTCAAAGGTGGCTGGATCTAGGAAATGCGATGCTGGAATTAAGTGTGTTATGCTGGGATTGAGGGTGTACAACTACTAAATTAGTCTACTGACTGATTTAGCATACTTCTTGGTGTGGATAATGGAAAGGCCTACACTAGGTGGCATCACCCAAAGAACAGGTAGCCAAAGTGGATACAAAGGGACAGAAAGAAGGCAGGAAAGCTGCTGCTTCTGCTGCTACTTCATGGCTTTGCTGCCTTCTGTCTGCCATACCATGAACTATTTCTGCTCTGTGATGCACCTCTGCTATGCCACCCTGCCACAGAAGCAGCTGACTATGGACTAAAACCGTTATGAACTGTGAGCCAAATAAACTTTTCCTCCTTTAATCCTGGGTGTCAAGTATTTTGTTATTCTAAATGTTTTTAATTTAGCATAACATATTTATACTTGACTTAAATGTGGTTATTTCTCAGGATATGGAAAATAGTTCCTTTAAGTCTAAACCCTATTCAGAACTATGAATGAAAATAGATAAATGATTTAGGTTAGAGAAAATAATTAACAGTGAAATAAGAAGTGACAACTTTTCCTTAAAACAAAGGTAGATGTTAAAACCATTTGTATAGCATATCAAAATATACAGTGAATATTTAAAAATTGTTACAGTAAAAACACATTACAATTGCCATTATTCCCTTTCAAAATATTCTACCTCACTTTAAATATATTTGTTTCATTGTTCATGCTACTTTCTGAAGTAGAGGTCCCCTTTTATGCTTTGTGAGGCATGATCAGAAATATAATGAATATTGGGGAAAAAAAAAAACCTCTTTAACAAATGGTGCTGGAAAAACTAGCTTTCTACATGCCGAAGACTAAAACCAGCCCATGTCTATTACTATGCAGTAAACTAAAGTCAAAATGGATCAACAATCTAAATATTAAAATAAAAATACTAAATGTACTGCAAGAGAAAGTAGGTAAAAATCTTGAAGACATAGGGATAGGCAGAGAGTTCATAAACAAAAACCAAAGTGCACTGGAAGTACTACAAAGAATCAACAACTGGGATCTCAACTTATTAAAAAGTTTTTGTATATCAAAAGAAATCATCAATAAAATGAAAAGAAAACCCACAGAATGGGAAAAGACTTTAGCCAACTGTCCCTCAGACATAGAATATATAAAGAATTTTTTAAAAATCAGGCCACCCTAAATTCAAAGATCAAATCCAAAAATGGGCATCTGAGATGAATACACACTTCTCAGAAGAAGAAATACAAATAGCAAATAAATATATGAAAAAATATGGATTGCAGATTTAGCTCAGTGGCATAAGCACTGCCTGGCAAGTGCAAGGTTGTGAGTTTGATCCCCAGTACCAAAAAAAAAAAAAAAAAAAGAAAAAGAAAAAGAGAAAGTGTTCAACATCATTGACCATTTGAGAAATGCAAATTAAAAGAACACTGAGATTCCATATCATCCCAGAAAAAATGGCTATCAAGAAATCAACCAATAACAAATGTTGGCAAGGCTGTGAGAAAAAGAAAACGTTTCTCCACTGTTGGTGGGAGTGTAGACTGATATAGCCATTGCGGAAATCAGTATAGAGACTCCTCAAAAACTAGAATTAGAGATTCCATTCAACCCATCTATTCCCCTCCTGGGCATTTTCCCAGGAGAATTAAAAACATCCTACCACAACAATATATGTTCTGGGGCTGGGGATTTAGCTCAGCGGCATAAGCGGCTGCCTTGCAAGCAGGCAGTCGTGAGTTCGATCCCCGGTACCGATAAAAAGGAAAAAGACAAAAAAAAAAAAAAAAAAAAAAATATATATATATATATATATATATATATGTTCCACCCTTGTATATTAATTGTATATATTGGCACAATTTGTAATAGCTGAATCTTGGAAACAACCCAAATACCCATCAACTGAGGAATGGATATATTACTGGTTTCTTTTTAGTTCATTTTTAAAAAGTTTGCGCTTATAGGTTTGATCAATTATGCATGCCTCTATCTTGTAATCTGAACAACTACTTTGAAGATAACAATATGCAATATATTAAACATTGTTAATTTCTTATTATCTTGTTTTTGAAATTCTGTATCATTGGCTTTTATTTTTGTTCTCTTTAAAATAAAAATAGTGAATTCTGTAGCTAAATCCTATGCAACAGAAGGGAGGGTTATAAAAACATACAAATGTGTCTCTGTCCACTCTGTCATAGGACCTGGCACTGTGTGACATCTGGTTCTTTCCCAAAGTCAAAATGACCATAAAAGGTAAATATCTGGAATAGATTCAGGACATCTAGGCAGCATGACAACACAACTAAAGACATTCAAAAAGAAGATTTCCAGAACTGCTTCAGAAAGTAGAACAAATGAATGAGATAAATGTGTTTGAGATGAGAAGGGAGAGTATTTTGAAGGAGACTCAGGCAATGTGTCTTTTATTGAAATACATTTTTTAAAAATTTCAATATTCACAAGATATATCTTTTTTAAATTTTATTTTAGAGAGAATAAAATCAAACAAAATAAAAGAGAATAAAGCCAATCAAAATAAGACAATGTAATTGACACAGGATTTCAAAACAAGACAACAGAAATCAACAGTGGTTACCATAATGCCTGTTGCTGTCTTCAAAATAACTGCCCATATCTTTAGACATAGTAAAGTCAAATGAAACAGAAACAGAATAGAACCAATAAAAACAAAACAATGAATGCAATACAGGACTTCAAAACAAGATAATAGTAAATCCCAAATGGCTACCATAATATATCTTATATTTGAAATAGCTGCCCATGCCATCACATACAATAAAATCAAACAAAATAAAACCCAACCAAACAAAACAATGAGAATGATACAGTATTTCAAAACAAGATAATAGAGAATTAACTATGGCCATCACCTTCAAAATGAGATTCCCTATATATGCTACATTGCATATTGTTATCCTCTGAATAGATGATCAAGTCTACCAGCTTTAGGCCTGCAAAGTCAGTGAAACACTGAACACTATAAGTTGTATTTTGCCTCATTTGCCTGTGTTTCTCTGGATCAGCTAGTCACTTCATGGGAGGCAGGGGACATTGGCTCTTGTCTCTCTGTCCACATGTCAGAAAGGGGCTGGCGTCTGGCTCTCTCCCAGGCAGTGTGCACATGGCACAGACCTACAGGAGATCCTAGCTTCTTGTTTGACTTCTTGTTCTCCTACCCTGCAGTCTGCGAATAGTGCACATGGTGCCGACTTACAGGAGCACATCCACCATATATTTTAATCATACCTCCTATTCTGTGAATAGTGCCAATAATGAGTTTATAGTGAACAACTGAAGGGTAGTATGTCAAAGGGAGCAAAGCAGAAAACAATAAAAGGGAACCTGAATAATGGCTGAGAAGAGACAAGGAGAATCTTATAATTACTATTACTGAGATCTTTCCTACCTCCTCCCTCGTGTGCAATTCATTAAATAGTATGATATACTATACATTTGCTTTGCATTTTATATTTCATGTGGGGGGAAATGTTTAAAGGCCTTTACGGATTTTTCTGGATATGGCCACAGTTATATATAAAATCACAAATATTAGCAATAATCTAGCCAAATGAATTATTATTTATCTTGAACTCTTCAGTTCCCATGATTATAGAAATTCTGGTTCTTGAGGTAAGTTAGAATTGTATAACATTAAAAAGGAAAAAGGAGAAAGATTGTGATATATTTTTTAATTTTTGAGGGAGCAGAAAGCAATAAGACAGAACACTAAGATTTAAAACCCGTACAATAAAGAATGGTTATGTATATTAGAGTGATTAAACAGGCAAATGGAAAAGAAAAATAATTGTGTCTAGCACAGGAGGATTACAGTAACAAGTTTGGGTCTAAAAGAATATTTTAAGGGGAAGTAGTAGCCATCCAGCAATGTCAGACATCCTGATATCACTGGCTTACATCTATTTGAGAAAGCTCCTCCCATCACTTTGTTTTCATTTTATGAGACTATAACTTTTTTATTATTCATTTTATTGTTCGTCATTTATTGAGTTGTTTCTACCCAGTGTGTTTACAACTCACATAAAATACTGAAGACAATCAAATATATAGAAACAAGGTTGGAAATGTAACTTGCCCAGTGAAAATGTCATTAGTATCTAGGAGCAGCTGCATACTGTAAAACAATTGGAGTCACATGAGATAGAAGGCAGATGAAAAATAAGGGAAATGCGTATCTAGGGCCCTTGACGGAAAACTTTCTTTAACAGAAGGTAGATTTAAATAGGCCATAAGAGAAAAAAGATAAGTTGTCCAAGTAAAAAACTAGACAATCCATCAAGAACAGAATGCAAATAGAAAAAAGATGAAGTTCTCATGGGAACAGGATATAAAATTGATGACAATGGGTCTTCCTAGAGGATGAAAAGCAATATAACAATGTGTGCTATGCATTATTTGCATAAACTCCAAAGAACTTGGCACCATCTAAATTTTCTACATGAGAAAAAACCAGGAAGTAAGGAAAATAAGATCTCACGCAGCCACAATAAGGGTTGGAATAGTCAACTTTACTAAAGGAAATCCTCAGGCCCTTGTTTACAAATAATTCCAATAAGCTTGACTGTTTTTACAAACTCAAGCACTTAAGAGATTCAGATTCAACATTTACATGTTATCTTAACAGTTCACATTTGTAGAGCATCAACTATGTACCCAGCCATTCTAAATTCTATCTAGATGGATGAATCTGACAGTACAACCACCTAAGAGATAAGGGTTAGAGTTAGCCCCCTTATATAAATGAGGAAATTAAAATAGATTTTTTAAATATCCCAAATTATATAGGTAGCTAATGATAGACAATTGAGATAGGAACCTTATTAGGGTATAAAGGCTGATTATGTTCCTATAGCCTTAATAACTAGACCAATTCTTAAGTGTATGAAAATTTCCTAAAGATTAAAACAGATTAATGGGCTTCTTTCCTAAAAGATTAAAACAGATTAATGGGCTTCACTGTAAGGGCTTCTGCCTCAGTAGGTCTGGCATGTATTAAAGACTTCATATTTCTAACAAGTTCAAATATATTATAAATATATCTAACAAATCTATTATGGCTGCCACAACACACCAGTGTCTGAGTAGCTTAAACAATGGAATCTATTTTTTCACAGTTTTGGAAGAAGTTCAGTATCAAGATGTTAATGGGGTTGGTTCATTCCAAGGCTTCTTTCATTGTCTTAAAGATTGCTGTTTTCTTTTTTCTGTCTGTGTCATGATTTGCTCCTGTTATAAGGACATCACTAATTCCAGTTTCTAATTTTAACTGAGTTTGATCACTGGTACAAAAGAAAAAGACTCCATATTCTAAGGAATTAGGAGTTAGGCAAATATGAGTGGAGAGATACAGCAGTTGCAATAGACAGTTCAGCCCATAACACTAGGTATAATGCTGGTATCACAATCTGAGAACCAATAAACTAAGCAATAATATGTGTCATGGAATGTTCTCAGTGCTCTTACATATATTATTTCAATTATTATACATGAAATACTGTTTAATTCTCACATGAGAAAATTATTGTGCTCATTTTCTTAAAATAATTGATGATCAGAAATGGTTAAAGATTTTCCTCAAATCACACAGTTAATACAGTACACCCTGTAGCTGGACAGTCAGCTTCCATTCTCCCTCTTCCTCCTCCCTAACATATCTTTCAATTCACCCATAAGTTTCAATGGAGGTAACACTTCTTCCTCATTTCCCTAACCATGGAGCAGAACTGATTAAACTACTGATTCTCTTATCAATAGCAGTTTCAGGCATAGGTATGTGATTCAATTCTGGTCAATTAGCTGTGAAGGAAATCTTCCCATAGAAATTTTGAAGAAATGTTTCTCCTTCTATCATACCATGACTGAATGTGAGACCTGAGTCAGCTCCAGTTCACCTTGCTACCAACCTGAGAATGAAGTCTACAGAGCTGAGAGAAGGAAACATCTGCTCAGGACACTGTTGAATAGTTGTCATACACCCCCCCCCCCCAAACCTGGACTCTCCTATTCTCCATACTTTCTGCTGTGCAAGCGATATGCTCCTTTACTGTTTAAAACAACCTGGGTCACAGCTTCTCTCCCTCATAGCCAAAGGCAGCCCATCTGATTCAGCTGGTAAACAGAAGCGCTATGATTTGAGTTCTATGTAGGCACAAGAGAATAGCTAAATTCAGCATGCAGCAAGGTTGGAGCCAGAATTCTCAATACAAGAACACACCAAAAAAACCCCAGCAATTTACATCAGGAAAAATGCTATATCATTCTACTTATATGAGATGCAAACAAAATAGAATGGTACTTGCAAGAACTGGGGAAGAGGGCCAGGGATTTAGCTCAGTGGCATAAGCAGCTGCCTGACAAGCAGGAGGTCCTGAGCCAAAATCCACTACAAAAAAAAACAGAAGTGGGGAAAATAGGAAGTTGTTCTGTGATGTCTTACTGTTTTGTGTTGCTATAACAAAACACCAAGTCTGGATACTTTTTTTAAAAAAGAGGTTTAATTGGCTCACAATTCTGGTTGTTGGAAAGTCCAAACAGCGTTGTGTATGGTATATGGCTACATCATGGCAAAGGAAAAAGGAGACAGGCTGTGGCAGAACTCATGTGCAGGAAGAAGGAAGCAAGCACAGGGAGGGACAGCCTCCCTCATTTGTAATGATCTCTTCCCACCCACCTCCTTTGCAGGAATTAACTTTGTCTTGTAAGAAGTAATTTCTTCCAAGAGTGCTGCTCTCTTGATCTAATTAACCTTTCACCAAACCCCACTGCATGAAGTCTCCTTTACCTCAATGCTGCCATACAGGGGACCAAGATTTCAACACACAAACCTTTAGGGACAAAGCATATCCAAACTATAGGACATGGCTATAAAGTTTTATGCTTGCAAGATGAAAAAGTTCCAGAGCTCTGTTACTCAACAGTGTAAATGCCACTAAATGCTGTATAGGTAACAGCACTGTGCATTTAAAAAGGTTGAGTATACATTTTATACTTTTAACCATAATTTGTTAGTAAGGCATGGTATTTTAACAAGTATTTTAGAGTCATGTATTTTAACAAAGAGACCTACATACTTCATAAACCTTGAAGACACTACCTACAGAATGTTGGGCTCTTTGTTCCTCTCATCTTAAAAGACTGTAGACAGGCTGTTTCCTGACCTAGAATGGCTTTTTCCCCCAGATGTATGCATGGCCACAGCTTTCACTGCCTTCAGATTTTCAAATGTCTCTTTTTTCAATGAGGTCTACCATGACCACTGTTACAGATTAAAAACTGATGGTCAATTTAACGCCAGCTGGATTACATCAGTATGGTGCTAAGCATACATGTTCCACCTGAGGAAAGTTGCCAGGATAGAAACGTGGAGAAGGAGAAGGGAGGTGTTGAGGCATTGTAGGTTCTCCTACACGTTGCTGTTTGAGACATTGGTTCTCCTGGAGAAGCTCTGATCCTTACATTGAGCATTGCTTCCTGGCCCCAGAGGGGAAGATGTGTGCTGCTTAATCTCTAGGATGAACTCATCACGCTGACTTCCTGGCATGTACTCAACTGTGCTCATTGTCAGAGGAACTCAGGGCCTCCATATCACTCATGACTGTGGTTCTTTTTAGGACAATCCTGGTCTGTTTTGAACGTGACTTCTCGGCTCCAGCATAGAACCCTCAACCTACCAACACAGCTTTCATTCTGCTGGCATAGACTTTCTAGCTTCCACCAATGACCTTTGGGCCTTTTTAGCATGGATCTGTAAAAGAGATTGTCGTGAGTTCTTCTTGTGGGCTCTAGACCTCCTATGGACTTGTGAGAAGCATTGTCATGAGCTCTGGGTCTTTATCTAGACTCATACAGGACATTGCTGTGGGACTCAGGTCCTAGGTTGAATATTCTGTGTCTTTGGCATTGTGGATAGATTTCCTGCACTTTGTGTTAACTCTGGGTGACCATCATAATATTATAAATTCCATGTCCTGATTTGAATTGTTCTCCACACAAACCCTAATGACAACGACCATACCTAACATTGCAGCTCACTCCCACCACTTGCCATTCCCCTACTTTCCTCTACTTTTTCTTTTTCATTATTACTTCCTAACATTTTTCATAATTTACTCATTTATTATTTATTATCTGCCTCTACCCTCTAAACCATGTGCTAGTTATATCTCTTGCTGCTGAGACAAAACAGCTGACAAAGTTAAGGATGGAAAGATTTATTTATCTCACAGTTCACAGACGTTTCAGTCCATAGTTGGTTGGCTCCAAGGTTGGGTAGCATAGCAGGGGAGCATCACAGAGAAACAGTTCATGGTAGGCAGAAGACAGGAGAGCAAGCAAGCAACTATCAATAAGCCTTGTTCTGCTCCTTAGATCTTATTACACCCTTAATCCTTGTGCCCTTAATCCTAGCAATGTGCCAAGAATCAATCCCAGTGTCCCATACTCTAGATCCAGCCACCTTTGAAAAGTCCCACCTATGACCACATGAGGCTTTGCAGGGACATTTAAGCACAAGCCATAACATTCTGTTCCTGGCCACCCCAAAGACTTGTGCACATACAAAAGGCAGTTAGACTGTCTCTAAGAACTGCCAAAGTTTTGACTGTTACAGTATTGTGGATAGTCCAAGTCCAATGTCTCCTCTGAGATTTAAGGCAAACTCTTACCTACAAACTTCTGTATAAGTGAAAAGACAGTTAAACACTTCCAACATATAATGATACAAGGTTAAGTATTACCATTCGAAAAGGTACAAATAGAGGGATAGAAAACAACAGGACCAAAGCAAATCCAAAACCTAGCAGGGCAAACATCAAGGCCTATAGTTTCATGTGCAGCATCTGAGGCAAGATATGAACTTCAAAGGGCTTGGGTGGCTCTGCTCATATAGCACATCTGGTGATTATAGCTCGTATGGCTTTTCTCTTGGGACAGATCTGTTCCTTCCTTGCAGTGTTCTCCCAACTCATGGGGTCTCCAATGCACCTTCAGCTTCACACTCACAGCATCACATACATAAAACCCACTAAAACAAGGATTTTTGTCTACTTTGCTCGCTGACATATTGCAAATATCTAAACTAATGCTTAGCATACAGCATTCAGTAAATCCTCCCTGAGCACTAGGATATAACTCAGTGGTACAGCATTTGCCTACCATGAATGAGACCCTGGGTTTAATTCCTAGTACCATAAATATTCATTGAAAAATAAATGAACATTAGTATTTATCATAAGTATAAATTATCTGCTAAAAACTTTGTATGCATTGACACAAAAATAAAACCTGAAAAATGACGTCTATGCTGAGGTGGCACACCTAGTTTTGCTTCCACCACTAACCTTGAAAGACTATAATCAAGAAGATGGGAGAACAAGAACAGTCAAAATATGGACTGCTAGAAAGCAGGCAGCCTAGTGGTAGACAAAAGATGAGTCCTACAGTTTCAGGAGAAACAACTTCAAAAGCCTCAAAACAAGCTGCACAAACTATCTCTGGAAATATGAGGCAAAGGGAAAGTTATAATAAGGAGTTTGGGGAAGCCTATGTTAGAAGACTAAAGGAATCCCTCCCTACTCCACTCCTGTGGCTAGAATCTTCTCCTACTTTGATATGACAGGTTCTCTGGAGAGAGTAAACAGCTCAATCTCTTGATTTTAGGAACTAGTACTATGCAAAACTAGTGTGGAATGCTGAGATTCTCAAAATACTAGCAATCAAGCTAGTTTACTCTTTAGGCAGAAAATAAAAATGGGTTTTTTAAAAATACACAATCTGATCAGCCAAACAAGATCTGAAGATACCAAAAGCTGATCTTGCCCGTTATGTGGCCCAACCAGATCATCATACTGCACAATTCAAAGCTGATAAACCCCATGCAAGTGCCCAGATTTTGGAGGTCTCAAAATAAGCAAGGCCAAGGTCAAGGCTTGATTGAATTGACAAGTCAAGCCACTTTTAGATTCAGATGGTTTATTACACAGACAGTGAAAAAAACAAACAAAAGGTGCCAGCTCCCTATGATCCTTTCTCACACATCAAGAAGCTAAGATTAAAACAAAATGGATCTGAGCCATGTGTGGTAGTGCTCACCTGTAATCCTAGAACTTGGAAGGCAGGAGGATCAGAAAGTTTGAGACCAGTATCAGCTACACAGTGAGTTCAAGGCCAGCCTGGATTACATAGTGAGACTGTCTCAAAAACAAAACAGAACAAAAATGGAACAAGTGTCTACAACATGAATTGTGGGGTAACCTGTTAAGGACTCACTTCTAGACTCTTGCTAAGCACCTTTATGCTTTAAAATTCCCTAGGGAAGAGAAATAAGAAATCTTATACCTAACTAGAACCCTGGAAGTGATGGGAAACTTCTGCCAGCCTCCTAAGGACACTGGGAAATAAGTGGGAAGTGACTGCCTATCCTCTTATGTTCCGTAAGAATCATGAAATGGTCTGTTAATACTCAAATTAGATACTGATTAGTGCAGTACTTAAAGATCTGAGAGTCAATACTCTAACATATTCCTATTTTTACTAGAATAGCTCCAAATAGATGAGACAGATCAAGGTTGTTGACAGGAGACAAATTCAGCCAAACCCACAGCCCCAGTTGTTGCTGTATTATCATCTTTACTAGAACAGATTCACACGACCTCAAGCACACAGTATGTGACCATTGATCTGCCACATGTTTCTTTTCTATTACTATCAGGGAAAAGGACTAAAACAAGACTATATTCACAGTGTTACTGCAAGCTATGACCTAAATAACAACACTCTATCAGTACAACGAAGCCAGAATAAGGAATAAGTTCGTGGACACGCTTCATGGACAAATGAAAAGATCAGATCTCTACCCTAGGAAAGGGACAATGGTTGGGATTTGTATTCAAATTTCTGACAATCAGTTCATACATTAGCTCCATACCCAATTGAGAGAATAAAAACCTTGAAAATACCAAAATGAAGCAACTTCAGACACCTTTTGTGTTGGAATTCTATATTATGAAATATAATTTTAGTGGACTATATTATTGATCACAAACATTCAGTGTCATTTCCTAAGGAACGAGTGGTATCTCCTACTCAGGGAATCAGGAATGGCCATGTGACTTGTGGCCAGTGAAATAGAAGTAGAATGGGAAATGTGTTGCTTTCAGTCAGCTACTTTAAGAGTTAGGTTGTCTGCCTACTCTGAGGTTATTTGAACATGTATTGAGGAGATGGAGAACCTGACAGACTGAGCTCTGAGCACTATTAAGAAAAAAAACAAAACTTTTTAAAAAAAAAATTTTTTTACCCTACCTGCAAATAATAGCTACAATACAGCAGGGACAATTATCTGTCCTTTCAGTACCGTATCCCAACATTTGAAGGAAGGCACTTCCAAAGATCTTTCATTTGTGCTGGGGTCTACCTGAGCCCCTTAAGTAGCAGTCACAATGCCATTCGGTGCCAGGCCAATACACAACAAAGATGGTTGACACTAACAGGCCGCAAAGAAATCTAGCAAAGGACATAGTAACCGAGTCTTGAAATTACTTTCAATTTTAATAAAACTTTTTTTTCATCCACCGGCCAACCAACATGATACACTCACTACCCCTAACAATGCAACACATCAAGGCAATCAGTACAACCTGTTGTTGCCATGTGTCCACCCCACTTATCATGTAGGAGCCAGCAACCATCATACCTCCGCAAGCCAACTGCCTATAACCCAGCGGTGTGTGTCCCAATACGCGGAGCAATGGTTCAAGAGGCTTCTTCTAACCCCAAGCAGCTCCCCTCTGCTGAGAAAAGTAAACACCAGACCCAGACGTACAAGAGGAAAAGCCCAGGCCTGGGCGTGAGTGGGTGTTCTGGAGACCAGTCTGCGATTGAAACCTGTAGGAGTTATAAGGACAGAAGTCACGCATAGGACAAAGCCTAAACCAGAAGCCGGCCACTAAAGCAAAATCAACAAGCACCCGAGGACTTCACCCCTTAGAGGCCACACAGAATTCCTGGCGATTCCCTCGAACTCCCAGACAACACCGCGGAGGTGGGACGTGAAGAGGCGTGGGCGACGGCCCGCCTCCGCTCGCTTTGCTCTCCGGGATCTCGAGAGAGCTGCGGATCTCGCGATCTTTCCTGAGCCGACCCTCTAGCGGAGTCCGCGCCAGTACTGAGATCGGAGGAGGGTCGAAGGGCGGAGACTGTGCGGGAGCGAGAAGCCCCTTGACCGGCTCTACGGAAGCCTCCGAGGGAGGGTGGTGTCAACTCTCAGGTTTAGTTTCCCGATGCCCAGCGCCAGCGCCAGCCGCAGGAGTCAGGAGAAGCCGCGGGAGATCATGGATGCGGCGGAAGTGGGTTTCCTTCATCCCCGTGCCTGGGAGGGCAGCTTCTGGGCCAGACCGCGCTTTGAGGGAGGGAGTAGGATGAGAAGGGCCCTTCCCACGCGGTTTCTCTGCAAGCCGCGGGCCTCGGAACCGTGCACCTAGAACTTCCACGGGGCTTGCACGCTTGTGGCTCGAGCAGCGTGGCAGACTAGCATCTGCCCGCTCTCCTCGCCGGCTCGCCTGGTTGCGAGAACTATGCCCTGGGTAGGGTGGACGTGAGGCATCTACTACCCCGAAAGTAGAAGCGGCGGGGTCAGACTTAAAGCTTTGGTTAGACACGTCCTTCACGTATTGCACATCCAACCCCAACCCCCCTTTCCCGGGAAATTTTTGATAACTACTAGTAATTGACCTCTTCTCTGCCCTTGTGTTCCTAATGTTTGGTCAAATAATCATAGTACTTCGCAAAGCCATCTGCCAGTATGTTTAATGACCATTTTGTGTGTGACAGCTTTAAAGAACATGACATATTTATTCTCATTCTGCTCAGTGATCCAGTGAAGTAAATAGCAAAATTTATGCAGAATGCATTTGAGATGAACATCCAATGATTTTTAAGTACTTTAGAGAAGCCAAAGTTTGAACTATTCGACAAGTTGTGTGCTACAGCAATATTAAGTCTTAGGTCCTGGCTTTTGTACTGAAAGATTTTCTAAATTTATGATAAGCTATATAATCAATAAGCCATCTCAGGATATTAAGTAGAATAAGGATTGCTGAAATATGAATACTAATTAGAAGGGATGGCACCCTTTTAGTCTCCACGCATTTTCATCGTTACGTTGCCTTCAGCCTTCATTGTGTAATCATTAGACCTAAAAGTGTATTTTCTAATACTTGAAAAAAGTTGTTCAGTAAGCACCTTAACAGTTACAGCTTACTTTGGTGTAGATACAAAATCCTGTGTTGTCCAGGTTCAAAAGAAGACTCAAACAGGCATCTGTAGAATGACAAAAACTAATACAGATCTTAAATTAACTAAAAAAAAATCTAACTAAATTATTTTGTGTATTCTTGATTATATAAATTAGCAGTGCACTCTTGCAATATTATTTGATAACTTGAAGGTTCAAAGAGATCATTTTAGAGGTAAGATTAAAATAAAAGTCCACATACCTGTTTAGTAAGTATAATTTGTAAATAGCCTGGACCTGAAGTCCCCCATTTCCTGTTCCTAACTTTATAACAAGAAATTTGATGTTATTATGTTATCATTGTGGAGCCCTTGTAATCTGTTTTTTCTCAAGCTAGTTTTTAGAAACAAAAAGTTGATGAATTTTTTGATTTTTTTTTTTTTTTAACAAAAGGAATGTTGTAGTTGATTTCTTTCCAACAACTAAGATTTCTTAAAAGTGGACATCTGGTGCTCAGAAAGCTTACCCGAAGCGTTGGTTCTCTTTGAACAGCTCTTCCTGAAGTAGGAAGTTAATAAAACTGTAGTACTTCATCCTACAAAGAGTGAAGTAGTACTCCCTTCACTCCCTGCTCAGAAGTAGTTTGAACACCTTTTTTGAAGAAGGTAGTTAAGATATGTTGTACATGTGTGCAATTTTATCTGAGAGTGCTATTTTGCATGATGTACCCACCCAGGATTGAATTTCCAAAATAAACAAGAAACAAGGTGCTTTTCTTTTTTCTGTAAATATATATGTAAACAGATGACAGATTACCATTGAATAATAAATAGCCATATTTTAAAATTGCTGAGTGAATTAATGAAATGATCCTGAAAAATTTATTTTAGTATCTGGTTGTTTGTGTTTATGTTTAAATAACAAGTCATAATGCAAGAAACTTTTTTTGTAGGACTATGCTAAAGAAAGATATGGAATATCTTCAATGATACAATCACAAGAAAAACCAGGTTAGTAGCTATGTGACTATAGAAGCATTTTTTTCTGATGCCAGAAATGCTCTTCATGAAATTCTCAGTAGTCCTGCCATAAATAAAGGTATAATGCTTAAGGGATAACTCTGAAAAGCTTAAATGATATTCATAACTAGGTTTAGGTATTGATCTAAAAAAGAAAAAAATAGGTTATTGAATGGTATATTTTAATGAGAGAGGGAATAGCTGGGTTACATGGAACCTTTCATTTCAGTTTTTTGAGTAATCTCCATACTGATTTCTATATTGGTTGCACCAGCTTATGCTCAAACAGTGAAGAATGGTTTCTTTTTCCACACAGCTCTGCCAGCATTTATTATTGGTTGATTTGATGATTGCTATTCATTCTAATTTTTTTTAAGTTCCTTATATATTCCAGATACTTGTCCTTTATCTGAGAAATGGCTGGTGAAAACCTTTTCCCATTCTGTGGGTTGTCTGTTCACTTTGTTAGTAGTTTCTTTTGCTGTGCAAAAAGCTTTTCAATTTGATATGATCCTAGTTGTTGCTTCTTTGTAATATGTCCTATGTGATTAGGTTTTTGTTCTTAAAGTCTTTGCCTATAGTATGTCTTCAAGAGTTTTACCTATTCTATCTTCCAACAGATTGTCTGTGTTTTTATATTTAGGTCTTTGATCCATTTCAATTTCAGTTTAATGCATGGTCATAGAATGGGTCTAGGTTCAATCTGCAGCATGTGGAAAGTCAGTTTTCCCAGCACTGTTTACTAAAGAGGCTGTCTTTCTTCCAGTGAAGGTATTTGGCCCCTTTGTCAAAAATAAGATAGCTGAATGTGCTTGGAGTTTGTTTCTGTATCTTCTGTTCTTCCATTGATCCTTGAATCTGTTTTTTAGGGTTTTGGTGGGGTTTTTTTGTTTTTTTTTTTGTTTGTTTGTTTTTTTTTTTTTGCCAATATCATGCTGTTTTTATCATGGTAGCTGTAACTCCAAATTTGGAAATGTGATGCCCCCTGCCTTGTCTTTGTTGCCCATAATTGTCTTTGCTATTCTAGATCTATTTAGTTTCCAAACAAATTATAGAATTGTTTTTACTAATTCTGTGAAATATGCTGTTTAAATTTTGATTGGAATTGCATTAAATGTGTGTAACAGTATTAGGAAGTATGGCCATTTTCACTTTATTGGTTCTTCCTACCCAAGAGCAAGGGATAGCTTTCCATTTTCTGGTATCTTATTCAATTTCCTTTTGCAAAGTACAGTAGTTTTCAATGTAAAGTTCTTTTACTGCCTTTGTAGATTGATTCCTAAGTATTTAATTTTCCTTGATGTTATTGTGAAAAATGTTGTTTCACTAATTCCTTTTTGACTCAGTAGTTATTCATGGACAGGAATGCTATAGATTTTTAAGTGTTGACTTAAAGAAGTGTTTCGGTGGAATTTTTTGGTCCTCTGTGGAGAATATCATGTCGTCAGCAAATAATAATGATTTAACTTGTTCTTTTCCTATTTTCTTTTATTTTTCTCTTGTCTAGTTGCTCTGGCTACCGCTTTCAGAACTGTTCTGACCAGGAGTGGTGATAGTAGGCATCTTTGTCTTGATTTGATTTGATTGATTTTTTTTTGGTACCAGAAATTCAACTCTGAACCTTATGCTTGCCAGGCAGGTGCTTGTACAACTGAGCTATATCCCTGGCCCTTTTCCTGATTTTAGAGTGAAAGCTTTCAGTTTTTGACCATTTAGAATGATATTGGCTGTTGGCTTGTTATAGATACCTTCTATCAGATTAAAATAAAGACCTTTTATTCCAATTTTCTTTAGAGTTTTTATTGTTGATTGGTGTTGGACTTTGTCAGATATTTTTTTCTGCATCTCCTAAGATGATCCTGTGGTTTTTGTCTTTGGTTCTGTTGATGGACTGTATTACATTTATTGATTTCTGTATGTTCTGAATGTTGAACCATTCCTGCATCCCTAGTATGAATCCTACTTGGTCATGATGTATGATCTTTTTGCTGATTTGCTACATTCTGTTTTTGGTTATTATTTATTAAATTCCTGCTCTGCTTGACTCTTTCCCAACATTTTCTTGTTTAATCCATACAAAGTCCTTAAAAAAAGCTTTCACCAATCAAAGTTGTAAAATAAGAAACTTGCCTTACACTACCAAGAATCTGCCAGGCCTGGGTTTAGAACTCAGGCCATCCGACACAGAGTCATTGACCTTCTGTCCTCTCCAGCTCCTTTGGCAGTGCTATCATTTGAGTTTTAGCACCACTGCCAAAATCCTAATACTTTGCTCAAAATAGTTTCCTTTCTCATCTGCTTACGTATTTCCAAACTCCTTTACTATAAGGCTAATATTACCAGGTTTTGGGGTGCTAGAATCTCCTTCTAGAGGTGATTTCTAAATTCTTTCTGTCCTGAGCAAAGAATTGGTCTAGATAAGCACAAATGATAATAAAGTTTTTATGTTTATTAATGGTGGCAAAAAGCTGACTCCGCAGACACCACTTTGGGTTAAATAAAAGTAGGAAAAAGTGCACTTTATGGGATAGTGCACTTTATGGGCAACAGTGAGGGAACACAATAGCAAGAACTGAGTGATGGCTGTCATTTTTTTCATATTTCCTATGCTAGCAAAAGGTCTGGGACCATCCTATCCAAAACTTACTTAAACATCTCAAGAGAAGTCCACGAGCAGGGTTTGGGGAGCTGTTCTACATGTGACTTGGGACTCTGTAATTAAGA